TTTTTCAGAAAAACCCGAACCGTCATGCTCACGCCCCGCCGACGACAGGTAAGTGCGATTGCAATTCAGTTTTTCAGTTATAAACATATTACTTTGTCTATGCTCAGAATTGAGGATCAGGACTTTAGTTAAGATGCTCGAATCAGATTCAGACCTTAGGGTTTGGACATGACCTTAGAATTCAGGCATTCAGATATGACTCTAGATGTTAGGATCTTCCGAGATGACTCTAGAGTTCTTCAGGTTTCACGTCAGTAATTATCAGCCATTTTTGGCAACTCGTTAAGAGATCTGTGTGCCTAGTAATCAGTCAGTAAGTTATCATGTACTCAGTAGTATTCAGTAATGTTAAACTTTTCCCAATGTTCAGATGCCGCCCCGTAGGGAACCCGATCACTCAGTTTTTTATTCAAGCCACAGTAGTCGCACAGTTCCGCGACTATCATGTTGAGAAATTCTTCGGCCGAGGAAAACCCCGTATCGGGGGGCAAGTGAGTTCATAACCATAGAAAAGGATTGAGTGTAAGAACTCTAGATTCAATTCTAGATTCACTCAAGTCAAGTTAGCAATTTGTCAGAAGATTTGTAAGCATTGTGCTAAACAAATCATAAGAATCATGTTTTTCAGAAAGTTTATCGAGAACTGCCATTTTGTCAATCGATTGACAGACTTCAGGGAGAAATTCCTTGAGTTAATTCGAGGAATATACTCAAATTTCCTAAGTCAGATCAGTAAATCATGTTCAAAGCAAGAATTTTCATGTTTGAGGTTGTTATAAATTCTCAAGTCATTGTTAAGGTAACGGTTTCCAGTGTATAAGAGTCAATAGTCCGGGTTACCATGGAGGCTTGAAATAAGAGCCACTCAGCCGGGTATACCATGGAGGCTTGAAGCTGGGGCCGAATCAGTAAGATTTCAGGTAATAACAACCTTTCAAGTCAGTCATGTCAGATATTTTATCAGTCATGACATTTTAAGTTACGACTTTTAGAAATCAAGATCAGCTAATTACTTTGTACTTGCGGGACCAGTTGATACTGGAACAGCCCTATAAAGTAAAGAATTCAGGTTCACGAGTTACAGTTTATGTTCATGATGTAAGGTCGACGTATAATAGTTGTTCAGCCGGGTAAAAGGTAGCGGTCTGATATACAGACCATTAGTCCAGATTTACCTGGAAACTTGAAGTCGCACCTTATCAAGTCAAGTGAGTTAGTAAATATCACGTTTTCAATCTCGAAGCGACTATTTAAGTTGTCTCGGGATAGTTTTCAGAGTTCAGACAAAGATGATTCAGTCATGTGAGAGTCAAGTCATGGTTATTCAGTCATGAGAGTATTCAGGCCAGTCATATTAAGATCAAGGATAGTTTGTCTAATAAGACAAGACATATCCATCATTTTCAGTATGTCAGCGCCTCGATTCTTAGATTCTGAAGAATCTGAGAAATCGTGGAGATATTAAGTCATGAGGGACTTCTTCTTGAGGTTAAGATTAACCTCGGAGGGAGTAAAAAGTTGCAGGTACCACAGGTTGACATTCGCCGCGATGAAGAAGAGCCACTCAACAACAACGGATCGTCCCACGATGGTAAACCGACGCTTTCCATTCAAGATGACATGCCAGAGTCTCAGTACACTGGGAGATTACCGAGAAAGTCTTCACCACCAGCATTCCGATTGAAGATCCACCAGCAGCCAGAAGAGGATGACCAACATATTTCAGAATTTCGTTTTGAGATCATGTCTTATCAGTGGAACACTTTCTTTCAGAGAAGTGTCCATTTTCAGTCAGCAGTATTCTACAATTCACTTAATTGTGAATTGATGTATCTTCAGTTCAGATCCAGTCTTTCATTCAGTATTAAATTACTGAATTCTCTAGTCATGCAATTAGTAAGTATAAGCTTTAAGTGAAGCTTGTACATTCCAGTTTTAGTATTTCCGAGGTAGGCCAGGTCGTTGCGTATGCTTCACGTCAGCTTAAACCTCATAAGCAGAACTATCCTACGTACGACTTGAAGTTAGCCGCAGTCGTTCACGCTTTGAAGATTTGGCGTCAGCATCTTTACGGCGGACGCTGTGAGATAGTCACAGACCATAAGAGCCTACAGTATATCTTTACACAGAAGGAGCTTAATATGAGGGAGCGCCGTTGGCTCGAATTGGTCAAGGATTATGATTGTTCTATCCAGTACCATCCGGGAAAGGCGAACGTCGTCGCAGATGCCCTAAGCCGAAAGGTGAAGGGTGACTTGACGTACGTCATTACGCAGCAGAGCCCGTTGATTCATGAGTTTGCCCGAATGCAGCTTCAGGCGATTGATGCACTTCCCATGGCTGTCTCGAGGAGTACTAGTGCCAGTGTCAGTGCTATGCAGCTTCAGCCGACACTGCGAGAGAGGATCCGGCGAGAGCAGGCCTCTGACAAATTTGTTCGTGTCATGGAGGCTAAGGTTCGCGCCGGAAGTGTTCAGGATTTTCAGCTAGGCGCCGATGGTGCCTTGGAGTTCAGAGGCAGGATCGTGGTCCCGAAGGCCGAGGCATTGCGGAAGGAGATTTTATCAGAGGCACATACCGCACCTTACTTGGCCCATCCCGGGAGCACGAAGATGTATCACGACCTGAAAGGATCGTTTTGGTGGAGAGGCATGAAGAAGGACGTCGCCGAGTTCGTCAGGAGAT